TGAACTCAAAGTTATCTAGCTGGGAAACTGTGCTTAGTGGAGTGCCCCAGGGTACAGTTTTGGGGCCAGTGCTATTCCTCTTGTATGTAAATGACCTTCCTTGTCTCCTATCATCATCGGTCTTGCTATATGCTGACGATGTCAAGATATGGAAAACGATACGATGTAAGAGTGATAGCTTAGAACTTCAAAATGACCTGGAGAAGTTATCTGAATGGTCTCAAACATGGCAGTTGCCGATAAATACTTCCAAGTGTGTTGTGATGCATATCGGTCATCAAGGCACAGATACATACACGATGAATAACACTGAGCTACCTGTCGTCCAGACATATAATGACTTAGGAGTTATCGTTAGTCAAGACTTAAAGACTACTGCACACTGCCGTGCAATAGCCGCCAAAAGTTTTAGAACGTTATGGTCAATACGTAGGGCTTTTAGTCATGTCGACGCCAAAACGTTTTTGACTTTGTATACAGTGTTCGTTCGTCCTAAACTTGAGTACTGCATACAAGCGGCTAGCCCCTGCTTAAAAAAGACAGTGAGCTTCTGGAAAAGGTTCAGAGAACGGCGACTAAGCTGGTTCCCGGAATAGCGAAGCTTCCGTATGAATCTCGACTGGCCAAGCTGAACCTTTTCCCGTTGTCATATCGCAGAACTAGAGGCGACTTGATTACAGTCTACAAATTGCTTAGTGATAAATTTGCACCTAACATGCCCTCATTTTTCTTGTCTTCCAAAACAGAGAATTTACGAGGACACTCCAAAAAAGTTCATAAGCCGAGAACAAATTACTTGTCAGCTGACTATCGACTTTCCCATCGAATCATCAACGAGTGGAATTCACTACCTCAGCACGTGGTTGAGGCTCCATCCGTCGACTCTTTCAAAAGAAAGTTGGATCAACTGAGACCACCATTGCCAGGACTAACATAGGCCATCGAGCCTCCTGTCCTTCCCAAACTGAAACTGAAACTGAAGAAATTTGTTTTGACATGTCGAAATTATCGGTCAATTTGTGCTTGTACTGGCGGTGATTTCGGGAGTCTGGATAATGTAGTATTTTAGAAAAACCGGTAATTTCTGTCTTATTTGTTTTTAATGTGTGTTTTATTTTAAACACAAGTAGCAGGCTGGAACATGTTTTAAAGGACAGATAATAATGATCACTTTTGGGGCAGAAATATGTATAACCTAATTTGTGTTCCCTTGTTTTTGGCTAAGAGTTTGTTGGCGAAAAGTACTGTCAAAAATTTACACAGAGTTTGTATTAGGGAAACCATGAACTTGGCCTCATCTAAGTTGCTGCGTTATCCTGTTTAGATGTCCCCAATCTTTCTATTTTGGCGAAATTTAAGGGAATTTCGTGCAAATTTTGGGGTTGTCCCCAAAGTCGTGAAAAGTTTTGTAGTTTTCCCGAAAGTTTGAGGAAAAATCCCGAGGTGCCATAAGTTTCTGGGGAGATTTTGAATAAATACTCAAAATGTTTAAGGATTAATCCGGGTAAATTCACCCAGACCTGCGGAAATTTCGGGGTTTTTATGCAATTTCCACGAAGTTTTCTATTGCGGCTTCCCGCAAATTTACCGAAGAAAACAATTTTCTCAGAAATAGGTTGGGTCTCTATCGTCACGTTATAGGGGAACAAAATTAAGTATATCTAGTTCATTATTTGTACATTCTATCCTAAAGTATTTCTGGCGCCTAACAAAGACCTGTGAACTGCAAACACGTGAAAATCAGGCTTGCTTCAGACCTGGTCGTGGCTGCATTGAACACATATTCACCATTCGTCAGGTTCTAGAACACAAGCATACTTATCGGCGTCCGATAATGGTGGTCTTTCTTGACCTAAAAGCAGCATTCGACTCTGTAGACCGAGAAGTTCTGTGGCAGTGTCTATCATTGGAAGGCATACCTCAGAAGTACATAAACCTTGTGAAGGCTCTTTACTTGAACAGTACCGATTGAGCTTTTGGCGAACTGTCATCTGTTTTTGCAACCTCAATTGGTGTCCGTCAAGGCTGTCCACTTTCTCCGTTGTTGTTTACCTTCGTCATATACCTACTGATGAAAATAGCGTTCACGTCGACTGATTTCTGGGGCATTGTTCTCCTTCCAGGAGGTTTACTCATCGACTTTGAGTACACAAATGACATAGTCCTGTTTGGTGAAGACGTTGATAAAATGCAGTCTTTTGGTATCACTAAGCAACTATGCCAGAATGTTTCGAATGCGCTTCTCTCCCTCTAAATGCAAGTTGTTGCCTCAGGACTGGTCTGCCTCATCACCTGAACTAAGGATAGACAGTAACGTAGTCAAACACGTCGACAGCTTCACTTATCTTGGAAGTCTGATCAGCCCTAATGGGTTGGTGTTTGACGAAATCTCAGCACGGATTCGAAAAGCTCGTTTGGATTTTGCCAACTTACGTCACCTGTGGTGAAGGCAAGATATCCGTCTATCAATTAAGGGACGAGTATACTGCGCGACAGTTCGTTCTGTATTGCTTTACAGCCTCAAAACGTGGCCATTAAGAGTAGAAGATACTCGATAGCTACTAGTATTTGATTGCAGATGTCTTAGAAATATTGCTCGCATCTGCTGGGATCAGCGGGTAAGCACTAGTGAGGTTAGACGCAGGGTATTAGGGAATGATGGTAAATCAGTTGATGAGGTTGTGAATGTTTATCGACTGAGATGGCTGAGCCACGTGTTGCGTGTGTCTGAACATCGATTACCACGACGCGCAATGCTAATTGGTGTTGGGGATGGTTGGGAGAAAGTTAGGGGCGGCCAAACCAAAACGTGGTAGCAGTGCTTGAAGTCACTAACTTCTAGTCTGAGCCATGTTAGTAGATGCAGATTACTTGGTTGGGGTCCGTGTAACTATCATAACCAATGGTTGAGACTCTTGGTGACATGGCTCAGAATCGATGACAATGGCGTAGGTGTATACACTCTCTGTCTTCCCTTAAACTATGAGATTAAAATTACTTCATATCTCACAGGTTGAAATCATGAGTCAGTTGAAGCTAGACCAGCATTGAAAACCTGGAAGCACTGGACGGCCGTTTCGCCCTAGTATGGGACTCCTCAGCAGTGCGCATCCACAAACCCGCCCCCCGCGGGATTCGAACCCAGGACCTACTGGCTTCGTGCGCGAGCACTTAACCATTAGACCACTGAGCCGGCACCCAACGGTGTTAATGTCTAACTTCAACCAATGCACGAAGTCTAGCTTCAACTGACTCATGATTTCAACCTGTGAAATTTCCTAAAAATCTCCGCAAAACTCATTCTACTTCATATCTATCTTTCTACGGGCTAACTTTCTATTTGTACTATATCCTTATATGCAATCTTTCCTTTACATATTACACCACTGAGTTAATTGCTTCTATGAATTTGGTGTTCATCTTGCTGTGCTAATGAGGTGTGGCAACTTGGACCGATGCACATATGTGCTTGGTCCTACGTTGTAACTGACTGACTGACTGAAAGTATGTTCGGTACAAAAACTAGTACACAGAACTACCAATAAATTCTCCAAATCATTTTGTGCATGTGGCCAAATTTAGTTGCATCTTTCTCACTTGTTAATTATTCACCGAAACAGCTTGGATGGGCAACAATGTAATCATTCTTTAATATATTGACACATTCGCTTGAAAGATGTTTCAGAAAATGGTTTTGAATGTTGTGATACTAGTCAATAGTTTGAGAAGTCCTTTATAAAGGTGGAGACAATAATTATTCATACCGGACTGTAAATTTCGTTTCTAGATGTCAATAATCAGTAGCTGAAGATACCAGGTAACATGGCTCAAAACGGTTTAAAAGGGTAGTGAAACATTCGTCTTTTATGACTTAAATTCCAATTTTTAACATTATTACTTGACTTCTTTCGGCTTTATCATATTATGTTACTTACGTGGTGCTCTATAAATTTGTTGCCGTTATTTTGACTTCTATACTTTCCTTACGGATTTTACTGATAGCGGTTTGACGGTTTGTAAATTTATTATTTATTGGAGACCTGTTGATGTTAGCGTCTCCTTAAAGGCTGACCCATGCTTTGTGAATGTTGATCAGATGAATAATTTTCAGTCTTATTTGAGCACTATATTCTGGTTACAAACGTCGAATTGCTCGCTTTAATTCAGTGTACTTGGTCCATCCTTGTGACGTATTGTGTCGTTGTGACTGTCTTGTATATGAACCATAGATTTATCGACCTCACTTAACAGACCTTTCATAGTTTGCGGGAAATCAATTCCTCAACAGCGTGTAACATCGATAGATTACAAACGTCCCGTATTTGAACAAACAGCTTTTGTTTAAGCAATCTCATCGTTGTTCCTTTTGCGTATGGTCTGGTAATTCTGCACTGAAAGACTTTATCTACCCTCCTCTCTTGATCTTTTGATTTCATAACAGTAGTAGAATTAATAGTTGTTTCCAAGGTCTTGATATTTTCTGCTTGAGGTGTGTATACTACTTATGTCGACAGACAAGCAGTATATAGCACCGATCAGAAGTGGAATGCCTGTCAGCAGAAGGTTCGGAAGATCGAATCAAATAGAACAGGAATAAAAAGTAATTGTTATGGCAATGAGGGAATGGTGAAGTTTGAGACACTTGATGGAGGGTTTGGAAATGTAGGACTCTAATTTCGTATCTAGATACAATTGCTTGTCCCCACCTGTGATCTCAATCACTTCAGAAGATCAGGATAAGAGAGCTTCGAAGCTGTGAGCAATCCTTCGCATTTCTATTCTGTGCTTATTAACTTATCAAGCATTTTACTATAACCCTCTTCATCGGTCAACAAGGAAAGCTTTCCGTGAAGTATCCTTATATTTTTTAACCTCAGGATAGATTGACCACAATCAGTGATGAGGAGTTCTCAATTTATAGTTGAAGATTTGTCGTCTCAAATCAGCAAATTATTACACCTAAATATAGGAAATTTATGACTACTGATACTAAAAATAGAAACCTTGATAGGTTTAATTGTAGGATTGGGATTCGATGACTTCAACTTTCCAACTGAAATGATGGATTTGATACTTTTAGTTTCAACAATAAAATCATAAAAGCATCACTGGACAAGTATAGCCGTTTCTGAATATGAAGTGAATTACTGTAAGTTGTGAATAGGGATAGTATATGATTATTAGAATCACTCAAACTAATGGGGTATGAATTACAAAGTTTAACATTACTAGCGGCAAAATAAACAGTTCTACAAACCGACTTACTGTGTTCGTTTTTGTCACACTTAAAGCATTTCACATGACGAAACACATGAATTACGGAAGTGAAATTCACCACAGTAAACATTCGCCAAACTTGTCTGCACCTTCGAAATACTTATTCCAACAATCAGTTGATCACGAAGTTGAATTCCCAACTAGCCTCTGAAATTGCACTTCACTGCCTGTTTCTATAGTTTAAGTATAAAGTCTCTAACTTTCTTATCGTTTTGTCTCATAGTCTTATAAAATTTCTATTTTCTCATTCAAAGCTAGCATACTGCATATAACTAAGTAGTGATTCCTTGAGAGATTCATATGATAATGAAATCGGTCTCCCTGGAATAGCCGGATTCTTTAGCATGTTATACGCTTCCTTGCCAATGAATGTCAGGAAATGAGCTGTGAATCTACCATCTTTCATATCTTTTCCAATTAAGCGCCAGATTCTAAACCTCTTCACTTAGTCTACAAAAATACTCTTATTTAAATTAACACCCAGCTGTTCAAAATTTGATCCTGCTCACGACTGCAGTATGATAATTAGAAGTTTTTGTGTCAACTTACTAAACAAGAATTCCCGGAGTAGTGCAATTTAAAGCAGATAGTTAAAACATGAATTTACAATAATGGTGTGTTGTCTCACTTCACAATACACGGAAGCGGTTAGAACGTTATTCTGAGGAACAAAAATACTGAAAAATAATTCAGTGGCAGGAAGATGTATAAGAAGACACATTATTTATTATTTATTTATTTGGACACATGAATGTTGGTACAAGAGAGCGCCAATATATATGCGCCACACAAAACAATGAAAATTCGAGAGGAATACAAAGAAAGAAAAAAAAAGCTAAGGAGCGCAACAAAAAAAGAGAACAATAACGAAGAGATTGGTGTAAGGTAATGTGCTAGTAATCAGGGAACGCAAAGGTACAATCGGAAGAAATCTTTCAGGTAAGGGAGACAGAACCACTTTTTATGAAGAAAGTAAAAGAAGGTTACAGCAGGATCGCCACTGGCTTCTATTCTGAGCCATATCTGATAACGTCTCTAGCCACTGTGTAGCACCATCTCTCAGACCCCAACCAGGGAGTCGTGAAGGACCAACACAAGCCAGTCCTTTGCAGCTTTCTTTCATGCCACGACACCATGTCATGCACTGACCACCTCTCCGCTTCTTCCAACCAGTCCCAGAGTCGGCAAATAATGCACGACGTGGAATCCTCTGGGACGACATTCGGAGAACATGTCCAAGCCACCGAAGTCGGTGTTTCAAGATGGTGACACCAATTGAATTATCATCTCTGTGCCCGAACACACGATGCCGAACCTCTGCATTACTGACATGGTGTTGCCACTGAATGTCAGCAATCCTTCGGAGACAGTGATGATCGAACACAGAGAGTCGTCTAACGTCCTCAACTCGGAGAGGCCAGGTTTCACAAGCATAGAGCAAAACTGCTCCCACCGACGCGTTGTAGATCCGACCTTTTACGGCCAGACTAACATCACGAAGGCGCCATAGATGGCCCAGATTGGCATAAGCCGCTCTGGCTTTCACTATACGTGCATTGATCTCATCACTCACACCCCCACCAGCACTTATGCAGCTACCCAGATACACGAACTTCTCGACTACGTCTATCTGCTCACCATCCAGGGTGAGTACAGGATTAGTATTGACTCACTTGTGTACTTTGAGGTGACTAATGCTTTTACTCTTCAAAAACTAAAATTTTCCCAACGCTCTTCATAACAACGGGTTAGGTTAATGTTTCCTGTAAGAACCGTCGAATAATTACTCCGAGGAGTCCCTCTTCAAATCTTGGACGCATTTATCGCCTGTTCCTCTAAAACGAAGTTGTAAAGGTGACATTTCTAAGTTTCCATTCTGGAGACGAAATCAGACTAGTTAAACCAAAATACTCATGACTTTTATGCAGCATCAAACTACTGTTTTATTTTGATGACCATGTTTAATGGTGAAAACTAATAAGTATTATCACAGCTCTTAGATTTGTTATCGAATGACTTAATTTTTTTTAACTTGTAACTCTTCTACTAATAACACGATGGTTTTACTAAATGGGAAAAAGCTTAGAAGACATTGATATTAAAAAACCTAGAGCATTCATGAACCCTCTTCTCTTAATGATCATAGTTCATGTTTGTAGGGTAGCACAGAGATTACTTGTGTTTATATATAGTATGAGTAAAGACCCAATCTTACTATGGTTTAAGTTGCTGAATTCGCTAAACATTTAGTTTACACACGTTCCTTCGTAATATTTTGATGACTCATCACTGAAGAAAAGAAATATGAATTTATATGATACTCGTCCATTTATCTCTGTGGTTTAAGTATTATATTAAGATACCTATTAAAAATCAAGTGTTTATATAGTCTCTGAAACACATTTATTGGAAGAGGGAAGTGAGGGATCCGTAGGTACTTGATAGATAATGTCTCCAAAAATATTTATATCATACATGTGAACTACTAAATGGTTACAGTTAATTAGGGTGTCAGATTTTTAGTAAGGACAAATTAACTGGTCTGGTTGTAAATATGTATTGCTCGAAACGGTACAATTACATGGTGGGCATACTCAGTCACTACCAATGTTTGTTTTTGCCTGAAATAAGCACCAATTCAATCCGACTAGGAAGTCTAAGCAGTCCATATATTGAGCAGTGAACGATCGTCCTATGGTTTTATAATAATATTCAGGCCTTTATTTTACAGGTCAATGATCGATAAAACTCCTATCCTGCATCATTAAATTGTTTGATGAAGTCTTATACTTAGTTTTATATTTCATATTTTGTAAGTAAGCTTGTTATTTTACCAGACAAAAATCTGTCCCATTGCCGAGTCTTCTCGTTATTTGATGGCAGTTAATTCTGATGCTTGGGTCAATAGCCTCATCTATCTGCTATAAGGAAAGACGTTTTAGCTACTAATACTACTGATTGTGTCTCACGTATGTGAGATCTAAGTATCTTAGCCATGATTGTCTAGTTTGATCATAACTTTCTTTAATAACCACCCTTTGTTTCAATGAGCATGAAGTTTGAAGTTAGTCTAATGTGGTGCCACCAAACATGAAACTGTCAGCATCCACCAGAAGAAATTATGAACTTCAGATTACTCAGAGGATCCGTCTGTTTGTAATTCATGTTCGATAGCACAGTTATTAAGTCGCGTTTTTTCCTTTTTTCCAAACATAAATATGTGAATTTAAAATTAACTTTTGCATTTGAAAATTGTTCCAGACATATGGATGTTGGCGCTAAGTGGCCTTGTGCCGTATGTACGTATGACAATTGGCCAGCAGCATTTAAGTGTACTTTGTGTGGTACATCAAGAAGCTCAACTCTTATCGAAGATGAAATGCAACGTTTGCATTTGTCGTCTAAAGATTCTGAAAAAATTGACGAGTCTTGTGCCGAGGCTGTCTTCGATTCTACGCAACTGATAAAGTGCCAGTCATGTACTTATCTTAATCAACGACAAAACTTTAAGTGTGAACAGTGTTTTCAGGTTCTCTGTGATTCACCAGTTTTAGATGCTGAAGTTTCCAAACAAGCTTCTTCAACTTGGTTATCCTCTTCTACTACAACATCTTTGTCACCATCCGGTAAATGGACATGTATTGAATGTACGTATGAAAAACTGGCCTAAAAGTAAGCACTGTGTGATGTGCTTTGCATCTCCACCACAGCCAATATGTGTAGTTGATTATGAAGATACTGAGAGCAAGAATAGTAATTCAACATGCGTTTCATCTAATTCATCTAGTTTAAATTGTAATCGGCGCCCAAAATCAAATATTTCATATAATACGCCATTAACTTCTCGTGATCGTTTATGGCTGTCAGCATGCGTTGCTGTGGTAAACGGTGATGTAGCACCAGTTGAACGTTACATACTTAGTAACGGTAGAATAGAACGAAAACTAACAAAACATGTGAGTGTTTTATAGGTAAAATTTTTTAGTTTATACGTATTTCTTCTTAAAATTTTACAGGCAAAATAAATTTTACTTTTGTGGGTACTGGTCTAGATCAGTCACTTTTACGATGCTTTATGATTATATAAAACATGTTTTCATTTGCTATTATGGTTGTCAGTATTTTATAGTGTTTTTATATTGTTTGGGTTATTAAACAGAAACGTACGAAGCAATTTTTTCCACAATACTCAACACTTTAAATCATCTCTTTGTGTAAATACATTAGTAAAATTGTCAGGGATTTGTATTGAACAAAACATCCCGATAATTATCTGTTCTAAACATTCATAATTCAAAAATTTGTTAGAGTCACTTATTCGAAAGCTAAGAGCCTAGGTTATTTATTTAGTAACGTTTCTTATCAACCAGGCATACATGCAACTTCAAGGAATTTCGTTCTATTGAAGAGGTTCGTACGTCGCGCAGCGACAAAATCACAGACTTTAAGCTATTCGAGCTATGGTTTTTTTGTATGTATAAGGTATTTAGCCATTATTACTATCTTAAAATTTCAAATGAAACTAATTAAAAGTCGAAAGACCTCAAGTTTTTGTCTAACTAACTTATTCCACCCAGGCTATTATTTATTATATTATCTAGTTGTTACATCTTAAATCCATACTGCGTACGTATCTAATTAGGTGAGACGTACAATTGTGTCATGTTGACCTCATTAGCTTTTTATTATAAAAGTGTGGTTTTTAAAATTTAGATAATACTGTGAGGGCAGATGAATTCCCATATTTATCTATAAATATAAAGCATTTCTGTGTTAATTTTCCGAAGAGAAGAGTCAAATAAGTAATCGAAAAACAGGAAATTTCTGATGACTAGTATTTCTTGCTAATATCGCATAAAAAATCATTGTTTTTGAGTCGAGTATCATATATTGTATGGCGATGTTAATTATTAATATTTAAGTGTGATAACTTAAACCAAGTGTTTAGGATGGACAACCGTTGTATTTTCCAGTTCATGATTCCCGAATTCTATCAATCTACCTAGGTTAGGTGTTTAAATCCACGTAATTTTATTTGCTTAACCGTATAATCTGAGATTAATGTTTTTAAAACACCTGTAACCAGGTATTTGGAACCTTCATATATCCCTGACTTTCGAAGGTTATATTTAAGGCGATCCTAAGTGAACTGCTACACACTACCTAGTCTATGTTGCTACCATACACAAGTGTTAAAAAGAGCCTACAATAGAGTACTCTACTTTGACACACTTTTCAGTAATATTTATCTCCATAAAACCTTTCAGTCTACAAAGTAGATATACACATCGTTACCAAAGCATACATTATCAACCTTTTTGGTGTATATTTAACAAGTTATTAGTTTATTGGCGTAGACATTTTGGCGTTTTTTTAATATGGTCTGCAGGATTCTCGTTACATTCATTATTTTCACTTGAAAATTTTTAATAGGAGTGCCGCTGTTTGAATTCGTATATGCAATCAACTACCATTTGCGATATATCGACAACTTTTTCAAGTATTGATCATTCTCCAAAACGATTTGATGATGCAAATTTGAGTCAGCTACCCGGCAGCAGCTGCTATTCCCATAAAACAACTATTCCGAGTTGCGAAAGTGGAATTGCTTGCAGTAACCTGGACTACATATCATCAGGATATAAATTTCGATCTGGTTGGACATTGGTGGATCTAGCACTTCGATTCTGTCGTACAGACTTAATCAACTTATTTATTGCTTTAATTGGTCTACAAGCTACTAGTAGCGCTATATCTGTCGGTTCTGGATCTAAGCATTCCACACTACCTGTGAATTCGTCGAGTACCGCTTCGGTCATTACTTCATCGAATAGTACTACCATTACAACTAACGTCACAGTGTCCGTTACAACTTCAAATACTTTTTCAAACAATAATCTACGTAACTCCACATTAAATCCTCCATTTCAAGATACTCAGCAAACTCACAGTAGGAACATTCAAGTAAATCGTAAATTAAGCAGTCCACTAACAGGAAATCAAATACATCCCTCACTTCAATTAATTTTGAATCGAACACCAGGTAATATAAATAAGACTCAAGTCACTAGAAGTAAATGGATGCCGTGTCAAGCTAGCCCTCATATTGCTGCTGAATTACGAGATCTATTGGCAAAAACGGTAAAACATTGTAAAGGAGACTTTCCATGCGCTTATTTTTCTGAATGGGAACTTTTGCTTTGCCTTATTCAATTACAAAGTTTCCTGCTCCAGTAAAACAATTGCTGTTATCGGAATTATGCGATATGCAAGCTCAATCAGGTTCGTGATGTTTTTGTTGTGACTTTATGAGCCGCTTGTTATCACGTAAGCTATTCGCCAATCAAAATACGACTTATTCGCTCTCATACTGTACTAAACCAATGACGTTCGACCGGTCTGATCAGCCTAGCGTCCTATTGGTTCGTTGCTCGTCTAGCCCGTCCAGCTTAACCACGAATGCCAATGACAGCCTCCACTATGCGAATCATTTATTTCAGACATACTGGGTTTATATACCAACAAACAGACCGCAATGCACCATAAAGTAGGAAATAACATTTATACACAATAAAGCCAAAAGTGGCTGTGAACGTGGGAGGCAGTAGTCAATAAACTGAACATAGCTTAAGAACAGTAAATCGTACAATAATAATATATAGGTCAAAATAAAGCTTATAACAAGGGGAATATAGATACACATAATCTAGTTACTGAATATTTATACCATAAGAATATATAAATAATATTAGTCCATTAATATGTCTCAGACGTTACTCGTAATGTAATCTTCACTAGGATATAACAATTTTTAATGTCAAAACTGTATGAATTGTTATAATTTAGAACACCAATTTTGCTATTCACCAGTCTCGGATTGACTAAATCACTGTTTAATTAGTGATTCGAAAGCGATATAATAAAAGTCACTTTCTAACTTCAAAACATTTACCTTGCTCATCAATGGACATGCATATTCACTATCAATTTGATTAACTCCAAAAATGATTCCACTTTCCAATCACTGGATTCTTACCTACTGGATCAGCAGTAACATATCTTTTTTGTCTTTCTAAACCCTTACATGTTTCTGGGTTTTTTTTCACTCGACAAGATTAAATCTTAGCTGTATCGAGAACTCATAAAATATGTAGAACACTAAATTGTATCAGTTAATTTTACTAATTTTGTTCAGTATTCTACTGTGGATGTCTTTATTTCTGTCTGTGAATCCATCTCACTTCATGTTGATTATATCTAAAAAAAGAAACTGTAGATCTTTGACGCGAATATGTATGACAGTTTTAGATGTGCGTCATTGTAATAGTTGCACATTACACACCGTATGTGTATGTGTGTGTACTTATTTACTGATTTCCTTAACGAAAAAAAAAACAAAATGTGATCGCATACACATTGTTTTACGTAATACATAAGCTCTTTATTATTTTGGTTATATGGAAAACTGCACTTATCATGTGATAATCTTAATAAACATACACTGATACATTATGTGTAAAAATAAACAATTAACTTTCAACAGAATCATGGATGAGAATTCTGATTTGTAACTTTTACAACGAAATATAAAAGAACAATTCAACTTAAAAAATAATAATATTCATTTGAATAACAATTATTTCCTTGGCAAGAAGAAAGCTAGCAAATGTGCGAAGTGATTAAATAACATAGTAATCGCGGTAACAAATTGAAGACTGCTTTCGTTATTTCTCTAATTACTAAAACTTACAAAAGCAATATTCTGATTTGTTCAATGCTGAGAGATCATCAAGAACTACATAACGATAAACTTCGCTTCCGAATAGATTGTCGTGATAGTTCGTAGAAGCTGGTTCAAATTGTCCAAATCTCCGACAGTATTATTTACAAGACACTTCACATGATCCACATTTACCAAATACTTAAATAATTTCTTAGTGTGTCTACTAGTAATATTATGTTCCAGGTGTGATAACGAATTCTGTATTTTAACAAGGACGCTCATATTCATAGGAATATAGATTCCATTATCCTATGGATCTTTAATCATTTCATTTTAATTATTCGGGATCATAGAAATCAGTTCACTCACTTTGTTAATATCGCAAGATTAACCGAGCCTTGGGCAGTGAATCATTGTTTGTTTTATTATTCTTATACCAATTTACAAGAATGTCCAAGCTGTGTAAAAATAAGTGGTGGAGACGTATTCGTAGCTTTTCCTTGTAGATGTGTTATTGTTTGTTTCCATCTTCAAACGAACCACTGAGAAGTTTACGGTTCTTCTTTCTTTACCTACTGATGCTCAAAAAAGTATGATAGGATGTAATTTAAGTGTTTCGATTGTCTGAATGAATACCTTTTTATTACGAAGACATTCAGCATCAACAAACAGTTTGACAAATTCTGTTACTGAGTTTTTCTTCTCGATGTTAACTGTAGAGTTGGAAGATGAGGCTAAAGCAATTAATTGGTGGTTTATTCCTGGACAAAAACAATCTAGTCGTCTATTTGCCTTGTGGAATCGAACAGCAGGTGATTGTCTGCTAGATAGCGTTTTACAGGTTAGTGCTTGGTGAATTAATTACTCTTCATTTAAAAGAACAACTATGCAAAATAGTCAAATGCTCTTTACATTTGTGTATGAAATTATACTAAACGGTTGTTGTATTGTAAAATAGAGAAGTAACATTTTCAGTTTGCTTACCAAAAAAATCAGGTTTCCCAGTTTAAATCACGATCTTATTATCGTTAAATCAACGTTAAAAACCTGGAAGTACTAGACGGTCGTTTGTCCTAGTATGGGACTCCTAAGCGCTGAGCATTCATGACCCCACATCCAAGAATGGAACCCAGAACCTTTGGTCCCGTGAGCGAGCTCCTAACCTCTAGACCACTGAGACAGCCCTCAATGGCGTTCATGTCTAACTCCAATGAATCCACGTTGTTACACAACCCTCATGCATGTTTCTTTAAGTTTTTTTTTACCAAGATTACAAATGATAGGTTAAAAATACACTGGTACTTTCTCAGGACTTCTGCCCATACCTTAGATTCATCTAACAGTGTGCGAAATCTGATGCTCCTGAAATGATTACTTTCAACTTTGTACAAAATACCTGGTCTCGAATTGCAGATTTTTATTAAGCTTCTGGATACATGTTGATGAGAGAATGTAAAATTGAAATACAATATATGAACTATTCTTTAACTGAAATTATTGCGTTTGCTCATAACGTCTTTGTGTCATGTTGTTTTTTATGCAGTTTCAGTTATTCTAAGTACTTTCTAGTAAACAAAGTGATTGAATTGTGAATGGATATATCTTCTGTTTTAGGCTTGTTGGGGAGTATTTGACAGAGAAAATTGTTTACGTCGCACACTCGCTGACAGTCTTCAGAATTGTGAAGCAAATTTTTATCCACGCTGGCGCGACTACGAAGCATTACAAGCTGCATGTCATTATATTTTAGATGAAGATCAATGCCGAAGGGACTGGGAAAATGTACTAACAGCGGCATGTCAACCACGTAAGGTTACTAATAGGATTATGTCATAGAGATAGGGTTGTTCTACGCTTTTTTATTTTTTAAGAGTTTAGTCACGATTCATAATGGTAGTACCACTCATGTGTCATCTTCCGTTGGTTACTGAAATGCTTGACTTTTACTGATAGTTAAACTTTGTCTGCTTATCCATCACGATAAAACAGAACAAATTATATGTTCTTTTCTCTCTGAAGTCTTGTTTTATATATACTGAAGTTGGTTTAACTTTCATATCTTCTGCATACCTAACACTATCCCCTCTAGTTACACTAACATATTTTGCAATCGATCGGTGTAGCATGGAAACTTCCATTTCTCAAACTTTCAGTTGAAATATCAATGAGTCAGATGATCGGTTACAATCACTGTTTATCATTATGATTTCTAACTCATGTGATTATACAAGATAAAGTACAAAACCACTATGTACTACACTTTTTAAATACCAAAAGTTACGTAACTAAGATATTTTTAACAAAACTAAGTAACTTATTTGTGTTTGACAATGGATAATGAGTCAAAACATAACAACACGTAATAAAAATTTCATAGAACAGTTGTTTGATAAATACTGCCTAAAATATATAAACTAATTTACTTACAAATAATTATGTAATGCAGTATTTTCCTTCTTTTCTCAACGCCAACAACTTTGTAAATTTAATTACCAGTGAGGCTGCAAGAGTGTACACATTCCAAAGACTTACCGCATTAGTAGTACTGAAAAACATCATTACGTACTTGATTGAATTAGTGATTGATATTTAGTGAGAGGAGCCACCTGGCGTCATGAAGTTTAACTCCCCAATTCTGCCTTGGATGTTATCTGTTTAACTATCAACGCTAACATTTGAATCTGTTGGTGCATTTCGAATCTTTGAATGAATTCCAAAAGACCCTACTTCGGATTAACTCTTATTTTATTGATCATGTTTAAAGCCAGTAATAGTTGTGATTTAATTTCAACCAGTCTTTTAACGCCTGTAATACTTCAAATTGTAAAATAAAGTAACTCAAACTTTTTAAAATTTCTTTCCATCGATCTACTGGCTTTCTGTAAAATCAACCTATGTAGTCTGTATACTACTAGCAGAAACAAGTAATCAAAGACTATATTTATGGACTGGGTCGGGTTGATGACTCCAATTTATGTAATCGTTTGTAGGGAAAAATCTGCTCAAGTAAATGAACTCTACGTACAAAACTTTGTTAAGATTTATCCAAAAAATAATTACCTATTTAAGTTATAGGTGATGATACAGTTATCGTCTTCGTGTATGACTTTGTTGCTACTCCTTTCGTTTGCTCTCTTTTTCTTTTTCTTCCTCTTATCATTATTACTACTTTACCTCTCGATTAATATGGTTTTATTCTAGAGAAGAAAAACCTCTTCAACATACATATTTCTGGATGATTCCTTTCAAAGTTCAAAATAGTTATATATATTTATTGGCCCTAGTTACAAACACTTCCTTCATCTTATTTGTTTGAGAATTTTTCAAAGGATCACATAATGAATAAGTGGTATTTAATTTAATTTAGAAATTTATTAGTAGTACTGAATAAGTTATATAGAATAAACATTTCCAAATAGTTGATTATTGAAAATTGCATGAATCCCATACATTTCAATCCTCAAGTTTAAATTTAAAAGAAATCAATGCAATTTATCATTTATTAGTTTATTTTATTGACTTCAATTTGAATTATGCAAGTAAATGTTTCCCTAGAAACTAGCGAATACACTTTTAAAATAAAATTTTCATGTAAACACACATAAAGTTAATGTCCATCTGTATAATGTTTTGTGTATTTATTTGTGATTGTCGATTATAAATTTCACCAATTACTCTTCATTCAGGTGAAGCTTTAGAACAAATCCATATATTCGCTTTAAGTCATGTCCTTCGCCGACCAATTATTGTCTATGGTGTAAAGTACATAAAAAATTATCGTGGTGAACCAATAGGGATAGCTAATTTTCAAGGTTAGTTTATTATCCTGCCTGTATCTTATGTATAAGTGCTAATTTTTATTAGATCAGTTCTTCAATCATCACCGTATCCTTCAAATATATTTTTAACCATCATCACCATACATTTACTGTCATGTGATATTGATGTACTATCAAGGATTTTTTGCAAAGTTCAATGGCTTACTATACTATTTGACATTTAAATTGTTAATATCATTGCTTCTAAATTATTTCTTCTTAAGTAGTGAATAATAGTAACTAACAATGGAATAAAAGGGGTATATTTTAACTTCATTAGCTAAATATTATTTTTTCATCTTGTTAATTTTAGGTTTTGTTCGCACTCCTTAAAATGCCCACATTATAGTAGTTACCTCATGTGTTATTATTTGTTAGAAAGACAAAGTTTTTTATAGTGTGAAAGTAAACATTTGCACTCGGCGGTATGCGGGTATATTCTGTTCTCCCACTTTTGAATGAAAAAAAAAAACAGACTACCGTTTTCATTAATAGGCATTCCAAAACCATAGTCAATAATGGACATATTTATACTCATAAGCAAAAATGGATGGTGGCTAGCGGTGGAATCAAGGACGCGCGTTTCGTCTTATTTGGACTTGTCAGTTGGACGTACCTACATCCCAGAGTTGATGTTCAATCCGGGATAACGCGGCGACGTTTGAAGTGAACGGTACTGGGTTCGAGTCCCAGAGTGAACACTAACTCTGGGATGCAGGTACATCCAGCTGAAGAGTCCCAAATAAGACGAAACGCGCGTCCTTGATTCCACTGCTAGCCACCATCCATTTTTGCTCATAATCTTGTGGCCAAATCGAGGCGATCTGCACAGAATGTACATATGCCAATAAGAGACTAATCAATTGCAGTCATAAACATCACTGGGAAGACTCAAACAAAGAATACAAAAATATTTATACTTACATTGATCTCCCAATGAGCTAGAAAACTGTTCAATGCAAGTAGAAGAGATTATTCGCGTTAGCTTAAATCTAATCAACTGGATATGTAAAGAGAATTTATCGGAGCTTTAGAACATTGTCTTTAGTGTAATGCGATAACGTTCCAATTGTTGTTGAAGTAGACAGGATTTCACGTATAAAGCTTATTTATTTATTTAAACCGTTCTATGACACAATCATAGAGTAAAACGATTTAAATATAAAGTGAATTTATCTATTTTCAGTAGATAATTTAGTAGTTGTGTTGATTTGATTAATTCTTACGAGATAACTGAAAATTCAGTTGACTCGGATATTTGAATTAAAATGAATATTCAAATGAATTGGAACAATGTGGGACCCAGTAACCGAAGTCGATAGGTTTAATTTTTCATCATCATGCTTTAAGAACAACTCAATTTTAACGCTCATTTCATAATTTCAAATGAATGTTATTTGGACTTTTTAAGACAATTATTGAAAACACAGTATTTATTCAGGCAATATTTATTATAAATTAATGTTATCTGGAGAGGAATTCAGTAAGAGAAAACAACTGGATGAAGTTGAAAATATCGACCATTGTATTCTGATGTGGTCGTCTAATGGTATTGTTATCTATAACGAGACACGAAAGTTCGGCCCACTGATGAAGAGTCGTATTTGTGCATTACTGAGTTGAGTAGTAGTTCTACGCCGAAATTAGACAGTTGTATAATAGTCCTCCGTGAATGTCGTCATCTGTTATCAATGTACAGTGAAATCACTTAAACTATAAAATATATCTACGAAGCCTCCTGATTTAACGAATCGTTAATGTTTGTTTCATCCGTTGTTAAAAATCACTTATAAACGCGATTGCTGTATTTTCAAATTATTTTTAGGTATTTACCTCCCACTTCTCTGGGAAAAATGCTCTTGTTCTCGGAATCCCATTGTTTTGGGCTTTACTCGGGGTCATTTTACTGCGCTTGTACCCATTGAACCGTGCCCTTTATCCTCGAGTGGTGTAAGCAATGAGTCAAATGCAGATACCAACCAAACAACTGGGGTTATCTTTTCACCATATGCTTCTCCTCCTACATCTTCACGTAAACATAGTCCTACACCCCTGGATGAAACAAGTAATTATACTCAAGTGCCACTCACTACTGTTCCTCTTTCAGAAACGCAACTAGTTTCTTCAACAGAACCATCGTTAGTCAGCTGTGGAACAACCTTACCTGGTGCAATAGCTCAACAAAATGCTTTTGTATATCTTCCGCTCGTTGACAAACAAGGAGTTTTGTTACCAATACATTTCACTACAGAAAAAGAGGTAAAATATGTTCTCAATTCCATTCTAAAGAATAAAGACAACCATTGCGAAGCAGTTATGTTAGGTTATTCTTCAGGAACTATTTTTTTCAATCAAATTGTTTAAGACATAATCTTTTTGTAATAATGTATCAACGAAAGTTGAATTTAACTGATTGATTGTATTGGACATTAACTAACGATATGTTTACACTGAGGTTCTATGTAGCTGTATTAGATTTTATGGGATATATATATATATATATATATATATATATATATATATATATATATATATATATATATATATATATATATATATATATATATATATATATATATATATATTGTTTGGAGTTCAGTTGCACGTCATCTGTCGTCAATGGTTTGGTTTCAAAGCTCTGGCTATAGTTCATATAATGGTAATATGGAATTTTGTCTCAAGTATATCCAATGAAGTAAAGTGTATGGATTTTTTCATATTGACAGTCGACTTAAGATAACAATTATGAAAGCTAAGTTAGGCAGTGACTTTATACAGAAAGCTTTGTATAGCTAGTGGGTCGAGTTGCTCGTATTTTTATTAGTTGTCACATCACCAGGTCAACATCTAAGTATTTACAACTTTTGCCTATTGTAATATGAACTAGTCTTAGTAAGATGCTATTCACTGTAACCCAATGCATCTTCATTTTGTATATAACTGTAGATTTCAAAATATTTACTGAAAGCCCCTACTAAGTGAGTATCCGCTAAGTTTTAGAAATCAGTTTAGAAGTTCGGTAACACATAAATCCTATCATTATTCTATCCCAAAGAAAAGTCCTCATCAAAGTACACATCAGCCAACATAATTTTGAAACAGAGCGAGATCACCGTTACAGGAACAAATTCCATTATTTCACATCGTCTATTTTGATAAATATGACTGACCTATAAGTAAATCAGGGTAGCGAAAGTTTTTACCTTTTTATAATTCGCCGTAAAATGTTAACAGTCATATGATACAATAAGAATTGGCGAAGAAATGAAAGTCTTCTTCTGTATTTTCTCCATTATTGTCTAGAAACAACCAAATGTAGTTCTTAGCCGATTATATAAACTTTTATTTGGTAATTAACTTGCATTTTTAAAATGAGATTATTATTATTACAGGCTAGAATGTCCCATACACTTCTTCAAGAATGGTTAGATGTGGTCTGTACAAGACGGGGGTTACCGCTTGCCCGATTACGATTACATGCAAAACATACACTTGTTGATAACATGGTAGAAGAATGGCTAGATTCCTATCGTTCGTTAGCAAAATTATCTACAAATAGTAATCCTATTACATTAACTACGCCATCTAATATCAATAATATCAACGCCGCCACAACTACTATTTCTTCTATTACTGGCTCTACAACGATTCAGCATGCTCATCTCGTCAGTGAACATTCATCATCATCAAATTCCATATCATCTGATACAGATCAAGTTGAGTATACTTCAAAATCAACATCATCATCTTTAGATGCACTACGCAGCTCTAGTCCCTAATCTTATTATAAAGCTATATGTTGCTGATAATTTATTTGTTGTGAAAATTGGTCAAGTTTATATTCAAGGAAAATGTCAACCAACTACTTGCTTTTTAATATATTGTGGCTGTGATACATTATATTCCCTTGTTTGTTTGTTTGTTTTTTTTCGTTAATAAAAGGCTGTCCACTTCCTCACTGTATTCCACTTCTTAAACTCCTCTAAAGATATTCTTTTTAGTGGGCCCATTTCATTTTCTTTTCTTTCTTTTCTATTCCTAGTGTGTATTTTTGTTCATTTACTGTTATTATTCAACAGATATATTTACCCTACAGACATAATAAACATGTTTGTAATAAAAACATGGAATTGTTTTAGTTTTTCTTTTTAATCTTTTCAAGTTTCAATATAATATTAAACAAAAACCAATTACGCACATGTGTATAAGTAGAGTTTATTAGTTAAAAAAAGATTTGATGAAATCATTCTTTCTCCTCTGTATAATGTTAAAGTGTTTAAATATTCGTTATTCATTTACCATTTTTGTTTTGTATAAGTGTGTATTTGTCTGGACGCGTTATTTGAAAGTTCTTATTTTATTTATAGAATATTATTATTATTATTATTATCCTTGGTAATCTTCCTCTTTAGTTTTATTCATTATCTATTTAGTGAATTATTTTGTCATTTTGTTGTAGCAATTGTGTAACAGTCGAATTAATTTTATTTTCCATTTGAAAATCATAATGTTTTTCTATTAGCGTATTTTGATTGCTTATTGATAGCAAACACATACATATACAAATATAGAATAATTTACCACTATTTTTATTATTTACACAAATTTCTCATAGATTACTATTCTCATCACATTGAGATGGTTGTTTTTATTGTTAATTAAATATGAGAAATAAATAACAAACTAGAATTTTTCTTGTATTTCATTTTTTCTTGTACAGTCATTCTAATTAAACATGTTAGTTGTAGATATTCTACTACGAATAAGATTCTACTTTAATTATTAATATGCACTATGGATAAATAGATTTTAGATGTTGTGTAATGTTTATTGCTATTTGTAGTTGATGTTACAATATATGGTAGAGTTTGCAATGCTAATCTCGCTGCCACAGGCATACATCCATTGCAGACAGATTGATATAAACTACAGGTCTCTATAAACTTCAACAATTATCTGAACATCATATCTGGCCTATGATTGTTAATAATTTATTTGATAGAAATAAAACTTTATAAACACTTAACTAACGTAAAAACAATGATTGGGTTGGGAACACAATAATTTAGCTAGAAGACTCAAACAAAGGAACACTTTTTCACACTTAAAACTCCCAATATAGATATTTTATGAAGTAAATTCACGCTGCCTTCATTAAAGAAAAAGCTATTTTGATTTTCACAGGTTGAAATCATAAGTCAGTTGAAGCTAGACCACCATTGAAAACCTGGAAGCACTGGACGGCCGTTTCGTCCTAGTATGGGACTCCTCAGCAGTGCGCATCCACGAACCCGCACCTCGCGGGATTCGAACCCAGGACCTACTGGCTTTAGTGTTATGGTTTTTTATTATCATAATCCGTCTGAAGTTTATCGTCAATTCTGTACTTTAGTTGCGTCACATTCAAATGAATTTCAACGATTAAAATTCAGTTTCGTTTTAACGTTTCACCTTTGACACATGATCTATTTTATGAAACAATTTCTGAATATTAGAATCTATTTTTTGATTGAAATTTACATATTTACCTCTCTATTTGGAAGTATAACTTAGCTTAATGCTCTTATCATTACTTAGTTGTATTGTATCGTCAAATGTCAATTTGATAGTTTATAACGAAAGTTTATCATAACAATAGATTCCATATCTTCAACACAAGAATTATGTTATCCTTAATGTTAATTGATTGAATGTACTCATTGATTTGAATAAAGTACAAACTACACGATAATCTATTTAGTCTTATAAAATATTTGAATTAGTTACTAATTTCAATTATAAATAATAAAACTTAAGGAAATTATTTTAAGTTAATTTCAAACATAAATCCTTTAATATTTTATTTCTATTTGACACACCTATTGTAATCAATAATAGAAGTATTATTGTCTTACATCTAACATATAACCTTGATGTAGTTTCAAATTTACAAATATTTTTTCCAAAAGTATAAATTATCTAAAAGTTATAGAAATATTTGTTCATGTAGAAAGTTTCATAAAAAGACAAGGTCATTAAAGCATCTTACAATGTAAAGGTCTAGGGTTCGAGTTCCGTATGCGGGGTCGTGGGTACGCACTGATGAGGAGTCCCACAATAGGACGACATGACGTCAGGTCTCCAATGGTGGTCTAAAATTGATTCATTCATGATAACAGTCTAAATTCTTAGAAGTGCTATTCTTACGAAAAGTCAGAAAGCTTTAATAAGTACACATAGTAAAACACATCTATCGCCTTGTTAGTCTTAATTTATTGGTTGAACATGTACTAGTTCCGTACAATTTTCTTTTGTACCACAGAGGCATGTCATTAACTTATTATTATTATTATTATTTGGACACATGAATATTGGTACAAGAGAGCGCCAATATATATGCGCCACACAAAACAATGAAAATTCGAGAGGAATACAAAGAAAGAAAAAAAAAGCTAAGGAGCGCAACAAAAAAAAAGAGAACAATAACGAAGAGATTGGTGTAAGGTAATGTGCTAGTAATCAGGGAACGCAAAGGTACAATCGGAAGAAATCTTTCAGGTAAGGGAGACACAACCACTTTTTATGAAGAAAGTAAAAGAAGGTTACAGCAGGATCGCCACTGGCTTCTATTCTGAGCCATATCTGATAACGTCTCTAGCCACTGTGTAGCACCATCTCTCAGACCCCAACCAGGGAGTCGTGAAGGACCAACACAAGCCAGTCCTTTGCAGCTTTCTTTCATGCCACGACACCATGTCATGCACTGACCACCTCTCCGCTTCTTCCAACCAGTCCCAGAGTCGGCAAATAATGCACGACGTGGAATTCTCTGGGACGACATTCGGAGAACATGTCCAAGCCACCGAAGTCGGTGTTTCAAGATGGTGACACCAATTGAATTATCATCTCTGTGCCCGAACACACGATGCCGAACCTCTGCATTACTGACATGGTGTTGCCACTGAATGTCAGCAATCCTTCGGAGACAGCGATGATCGAACACAGAGAGTCGTCTAACGTCCTCAACTCGGAGAGGCCAGGTTTCACAAGCATAGAGCAAAACTGCTCTCACCGACGCGTTGTAGATCCGACCTTTTACAGCCAGACTAACATCACGAAGGCGCCAAAGGTGGCCCAGATTGGCATAAGCCGCTCTGGCTTTCACTATACGTGCATTGATCTCATCACTCACACCCCCACCAGCACTTATGCAGCTACCCAGATACACGAACTTCTCGACTACGTCTATCTGCTCACCATCCAGGGTGAGTACAGGATTGGAATCCTGCCAGTCTTGTAGAAGTACTTTGCACTTCGAAGGTGCAAAGCACATACCATACCTACGGACACTGATTGCCAACTGATTAAGTGCGGATTGCATGCCTTGGGCATTATCGCACAGTAAGACAATATCGTCCGCATACTCAAGGTCGAGAAGTCTTTCTCCAGGCAACAGATCCACACCACCATTACTTACATTCATCAGAGCTGTTTCCAGAATGTCATCGATGGCAAAGTTGAAGAGGAATGGTGAGATTGGGCAACCCTGCCTAACCCCACTGCTCGAATGGAACAATGGAGAGAGGTGGTTGTATGCCCTCACTCTGCCTGAGGTGTTTTTATATAGGGCTTTTAGGATGTTAATAAACTTCTCAGGCACACCCTTCTTCAATAGACAATCCCAGAGAACAGTCCTGTCCAACGAATCGAAGGCAGCCCTGATGTCAAGAAACACTACGATTGTTGGCCTTTGATAAGTATGGCGGTGTTCTAACATTTGGCGGAGGGTGAAGATATGATCAATACATCCTCGACCAGAACGAAACCCAGCCTGCTCCTCGCGAGTCAATCTTTCTCGGGTTTTGAACAACCTACGAAGTATGACGGAAGCCAATAGCTTGGACGCAATCGGAAGTAGACTTATCCCCCGATAGTTGTTACAGGAACGACGTGAACCCTTTTTAAAGATAGGGACAACTATCGACTCATTCCATGACGTTGGTACACTCTCTAGTTCCCAAACCTTTGTAAACAACGTCGTCAATTCCTTAGTCAAAAAGTCACCACCATCTTTAAAAAGAGCCGGAGGTAAGTCATCTGGGCCAGGTGATTTGTAACGCTTCAAGAGTTGGAGTTCCTTGCGGACTTCCTCCTCGTTTGGTGGATCAGTCGTCACCGGCCATGGAGGGCAGGACAGTCTGACCGATGTTGCCGGAGCAGCAGGCCAGTTGAACTGCCCTTCGAAAAATTCTGCCCATCGTCCAAGACGTCGATGGATGTTAGTGATTGGCATCCCATCATCCTCGCAGATTGTTTCACTCACACCAGACTTCTTGCTGCCAGTGGCTCGGATGAGCTGGAAGAGCTTCCGGTAATTACCAGATGCAGCTGCTGCTTCCAGCTCATTAGCACGCATCGACCACCAGGCTTCTCGGTCCTTACGCAAGCTTTGCCCAATTTCCTTACGTAACATCCTTCGTTTATGGTCAAACTCACGGTCACCCGGAGTAGACCGACGGGCTTCAATGAGTTGTAAGGAACCAGAAGAAACCCAGTGCTTAAAAGCGGGACGTTTCGCAAACCCACAACTGACTGTTCCCGCCATTTTCATGGCGTCATGCAATTGCAACCAATGCTCATCTATACTTTTCGGTGGAGTGGTAGCTAGCCTAGAGGCTAGCTCGGTTCGATACTTACTTGCAACAGAAGTTGCAACCAGCTTGCTAACATCAATCCTTTGGTGGTGGTCACTTCGTTGGCCACTGAAAAGTAAGGCAAGATTGGCGCAGACCAAGGCATG